CCAGAACTCAACACAACACTTGAGGCGCGCCAGTGCCGAGTACAGGGGTACGGTCATTCCCTAGTCCCGCTGCCCATCCTATTCCCGCCACACCCACCCTCCCATTGTCCCTCCTGYCCACCCGCTCCTCTCCAGGTCCTTCGGGGCGGCCGCGCACCGCCCCCTTCTCCTGCTCCCACCCTCCGCCAGGGGGCGCGCGCGGCGCGCGGGCCGGGCTGAGGGGGCGGCTGAGGGGGCGCTGAGGGAAAGCTGAGGGGGCGGCTGAGGGGCGGCTGAGGGGGCGCTGAGGGGCGGCTGAGGGGGCGCTGAGGGGCGGCTGAGGGGCGGCTGAGGGGGCGTTGAGGGGCGGCGGGAGCGCGGGGTCTGCGGAGAGTCAGGTCCTTCGGCTCTAGTCCCTTTCGCTGCCTTGCACCGACCCGCCCTGGCCAAGCCCGCCTTGTCTTGTGCCTAGAAAGTCTAAATGAGGCGGATGGGACGCCTCCGTGTGATGGGAGCCGCGGGAGGTCCGGAGGAGGAGGGCGAGTACCTGCCCTTGGAAGGCTTCAGCAGAGCGGCCAGTCTCCCCGGTGCTGGAACGGTTCTGTCTTTTTTACCTCAGAAAACAGCTCCAGTATTTGTAGCTCCTCAGGCTCCAGGTATCAGGGGTTTGGGGATATGTGATAATTAATGACAACAGCTAAGGAAACTGTGGAACATAACTACTTCCTGTAATTATTYCTCTAGTGATGTCCCAAGCTGTGATCTGTGACACGGTCTGAGGAAGCAGGGAGCGCTCTTTGAAAAGATCTGGTAGGAGAATAAACTGAGGAGAGGGGAATGGGGGGAATAAGGGAAAAGATGTGAGGTAGATACCTGAGTGTGGGATGGGAGAAAGAATTTCCCCGAGGTCCGTGGAGCAGAGCCACATAGGAGTGCTGAGACACTATAGATTAAGTGAGAACTCATTGCTAATTCAGAGTGGAAACATCTTTAATGACCTTCATTCTAGACACAGAAAACAATGATAAACCCAGTGGAAATCCTGTCCTCRGTGATAAACTTCTGCCCTCTGAAATAGATGCCTGTTCTGCTKCTCTCTCCCTTTGGCTATTAACTCATCTCCTTCACCTGTGATCACGTTTTAGAGTTGTGTTTTTTTTCTAAGTAGTGTAGAATATGAGTTGCCTGGGAAGAAAAAAAGCACTAAGTCCAGTATGGCCTTTCTAAGAGACCCTTTCTCTTGGGCCATGATCAAAGGGACTGTGGTCAGTTTTGAAGCTAATGCAGATAGAAGCATTTTTTCGATGAGAGGACTGCATTGCATTGATCTTTGCTGTATTGCTCTGTGTTTTAGTATCCAAATGGGGATCTAGCTGTCATCTGTTCCACTTGTCAATACAATGAGCTCCTAGGTGATAAGCTAGTCTCACATTTTTGAACAATATTTAAGTCCATGAAGATTCCCATTGATTTTCTTTGTGAAGTGAGGTCCCAGCTTAGCCTTGCAGTTTGCCTGTCAGGTATATTTCCCTGCTGTCCYGCGTTTGTGGTAGCATCCCCCATCCTGCCTTCTGACAGGGCTCGGGTTGCCCTGTGCTGCTCAGGTTGCTTTTATCCATCCCCTCCTTTATTTCCTTCTTACAGAGGCACGCTGGGCTCTGACAAGCAGAGCATGTGAGTGCACTGTGCCCTGTAATCCAATAGGACATGTGCACTGTGCATGCTACAGGCTGGGCCCTGTGTACAGCATAGGCCTCTGTTTTCGGTCCAGAAGGCTAATTAGGAGAGACGTGGTGCACAGAGCAGTACTGTGAGATAGCCCTGTGCTGCTTCATTTCACATAGGATATTGCCTTCGTTCCCTGTTGTTGGTTTGGAGGATGCACAGAGCAGACCTGAGTCACCACAGCTCCCTGCACAGTCACTGTCTGTGTTAGTACAAGGTGTGTGAGTCCACTCAGGCATCCTAGTGTGCTGAGCTGACAGCGCAGGACTAAAAGGTAACAACATCTTCACATTTGTTTTCCCATTTCCTCACTCTCATCTTCTGCCAGCTTGGCTATATTGATTCCAGTGTCAGGGATTCAGAAAACTGTTGCAAGTGACTATTCAGTCAAGGTGGGAAACAAGTGTCTCCTAAGAAAAAATCTGAGATASAAAAAAATCAGAAAATGCTATTTAAATGGAAGAATGGGTCAAGAGACCTGCCAAGAGAGAGGATGAATGTCTCTCCTGCAGACTGGGAGAGACAATGTAGCCTCGGGTATCTTATCAAATAGAGATGATGGAGGACAGAACATGCAAGGTCAGGGGGAAAAGAACATGAACTGTCTATACACATTAGACACAATTTGTAAAGCAGTTTGAGAACTTTTGATAGAAKATTCTCCATCAGTGTAAATGTTCACCAGTGATTGTCCAATGTGGTGGTGCTAGGAAAGTGCAGGAAGAATACTGAGGTCTTATTTTCCCAACTACTGTTTGTTATTTGTGGTAGTGTGCCTGCAGAGGGGCTATTCCAAATCAGTCTGGGTTGGTTTCATTGCCATTTTAATTCATTATTTGACATTTTACTACAGGCTTAAAGGTCTAGACCCTCACTTTGAATTTACATGCCATTTATAATCTCCCGCTTCCAGGTTAGGTTGCATTTGTTTCATATGGAATTAATTGTGTTAATAATCTGCAATAGACATTGTGATAAATGTGTGTTTTCTTGTGTGCAGCTAGCCCCTAGAGTTTGTATGTATTTGCTGTAATTAAAAGTACCAGTAAATGTATTCAACAACATCCCCYCCATCCCCCAAATGTTAGTGAATCCTTGCACTCTTTTTAGGTGGAATGCTTCCATTTATAGAKAAAGAAACTGAGGTACAGGGGGAATAAACGTTTCTTCATGGTAAATAAGAAGTCTGGAGATAAAGAGCAAGAACAGAGTAGAGAGAACTGGCATAACAGCACACACTGTGTTGGAGTATAGGTCTGGGATGTTGCTCATACATAAGGTAGCTGAGTAATTACATCCTGGAGTAAAATTAGGATGCACTGGTACTCCATCCTTGTGATACCACAATTATATCTTCCCTGTGTAGCCAAAATAATGATTTTTACTTCTCCCTAGAAGCACAGAACTGAATTTGCCATCAGGTATGGTAGCAGAGTTGGGGGAGACAACTACATTTTGTTCCACTGTATGCACATTGCATCCCCAGATAACCTCAGAGCCGAAAATACAA